CTCTGACCAAACGCACCGCCTGATAAAATAAAACAGTTTACTTCATCGTCTGATGACTGCACCTGATCTGCTGCTGTGACATCTTGCTGTAATGTAAATTCAGTCTTGTGATGTGATTGTCCATCAGCTCCTGAATGGAGGCTTTTTGTCCTGATGTCTGCTGCAGCTCTGGATCTGTAGCGTGGACCAGCTCCCTGTCTTCAGACGGCAGCCACAGCACCTTTAGTACAGAGTCAAAGACAACCATCAGGCAGTTACAGTATGTTCGTAGAGACGTTTAAAACTTGCTGAATATGATGCGATCAAAGCAACGGTTCTTAGAGCAGAATATGCATCTTTAAAGGTGTCACTAATTATCACCCGAGTCCAAACAGATACATTTGAACCCAGCTGAACCTTCAGCTCCAGCTTAGATGGTACCTGTGAGGAGTTGATGTGATCCTGCACGACCTGCAGAGTGGTGTTGATGTACGACCGGCTGTATGGATGTCCGTACGGTGGCCTGCGCAGGTCAAACAGCACTAGTTTCCTGCTTCGAGCTGCAACCTCCAGAAACTGGGCCAACGAAGGGATGGACTGGTTCTGGGCCTTGGAGCGGTCCGCCTCGGACAGGGACGATGCAGTACCAAACGGATCTCTCTGTAACAGTGAGTGTGTGTCAGCGATGAAGATAAAAATGAATTATTCGTGGACATTTAGTCAGAATGTAGTGTAACAGTCTCAAAACTGTGTCGTTTGATTTGATTTAAGGAATTCTTCTTAAAAAGGTTTTTTTTTTAATCCCAGCTCCTGAAGGAATTAAAAACCTAATACAATGACTGTTGGGAAGTTTAACCTTTAGCTTTGGATCAAAGTTATTGTCCTTAAATTTATTATTAATAAAAAATAACTGTCAAATCAAATCTGAATAAAAGAAAGACTAAATCAACTTATCCTGATGGGTGCTCAATAATCCTGATGGAACGATCAAAATGAAACGTTTCAACAAAGAATACGTCCGGATAAGCCTCGTTAAGTTAACGCCAGTTTATTTTACTGTGTATTTTAAGAAGTTATAGTCACGTTTATTTTCTCGAGTTAATCTGCGTTACTTTAATTATCGTTTCATCTTAAGAGTATAAAGTGCAGCTCCTTAAACTTTAGTTTTTATAACAAATCAGGATTTTTGAATAGGTTTTCCTGATTTGACACTAATTATGGGGAGCACGTTCTCGCTCTGTGTTGTTGTGAGTTCATGTAGACGCACCGATAAGGACCATTTCCCAGCATTCAGCTGCTGTAACTCAGCCCAGGTGAACATGGAGGCGTCGAGGAGCGTTCGATTGGGGAAAACCTCCGCGACGTCGGTGGTCCTCCTCAGTGTGGAGTCGTGCATCAGGAAGGGAACGCCGTCGTAGCTGCGCACAGCGATGGAAGCGTCGAGTCGAGGTGTAATAAAAGACGACGAGAAAATGAGAGCGAATGATGAGAAAACAGGAAGAGGAGTGAGTAAAAAACTAAATGAATTAATGAAAAAATTGTCAGTGAGTGTTTTGTTTCGTAAAGCTTTGCATGAAGATCAAAACACATGCCGTTAATAAAAGTCTACCAGTGATAAATTCACAAATTATAATACACTAATCATCACACAGGAACAGACACATCATTCTGACTAAAAAAAAAAGACTTAACCCAATGAGCCAGGCTGCTAATCCCTGCGTTTTCAGGTTGTGAAATAGTTCATTCTGTTTATTTATATAAAGCCTAATCACAACAGAATTTGTCTCAGGACACTGTACAAATAGTGTGCTGAATTAAAAGCTGTGTGCTAACAGGAAGCTAGGGGCTAAGTGGATTTAGCATGGCAGTAATCAGCTGATCACAGAGTGGTAGCAAACATCTGATCTGTATAATCAATTCAAATCAAATCAGTTTATTAATATAGCGCCAAATCACAACAAAGTTGTCTCAGGGCGCTTTACAGGAACATTCACATAAAAGCCAATTAATTAGTAAAGTTCTCTATCTAAGGAGGCAGCAGACAATCAGCATCAAAGAACGGGCTCAGCTGCTCCAACAGAGACCAGCAGCAGGAAAACCACCAACCACGTGTGATCATTTCACATTGACTCTGTTCCTGCAGGCTTGGCTAATCATGTCATGCTGTAAAATGTAAGTGGCTTTTTCAGAGACTAAGAAAGCAAAGAAGAAAAAAAAACTGATGGTGTTCTGGTTTTTGTTGACGTGTAGCAAATCCTAAATGAGAGACGGTAACAAAGACCATAAATCCAGTTGTTAAAGCCACACCTTATGGTGACATCTGTCTCCAGCCCGTCTCCTCCAGCTTCAACGGCCTTTTCAAACGACATCACAGTATTCTCTGGAGCGAGCTGCGAACACAACAAAAATAAAATCAACATGTGTCGTTAATAAATGTTCAGGACTCAACAGCTACCAAGATGTAGGGGGAGTGGTGGCGCAGAGGTTAGAGAAGATGGGCCTGTGATCAGAAAGTCGCAGGTTCAACTCCGGTACTGTCAACATCAAAATGTGGGTGGAAAAGGTGAAACACCCACACCTGCCTCCACCCTCATTTGCCCCACTCTGGGCCCCTGAGCAAGGCACTCAACCCCCACCATCTGCTCCCTAAACAGGTCTCTCTTGAAAATGAGTTCTCATGACTCAATGAGACTACCTGGATAAATAAAAAAAAAGTCTAAAAACACATGAACCTCAGAATTAAAGATTTAACTCCAACACAGACAGATTGTTAACTGACACAAATATGTAGCTCACAATCCGTTATTTTAATAATAAAAACATGAAACTGTAACACAGAGTATCTAAAAATAGTTGATGCAATTCATCACACTTGTTTTTGGTGAATTTGGAGTATGTTGGCATGAAAACATAAACACAGTAAGGATTTAGTTCATGGGGGCGTTTTATATGAAAATGTCTCGTCTGTTTAATTTAATATGGATTCCTGAAATGTTAGCTGGTGTTTTACATCAGCTATTCAAATAAAATCGTAAACTACAGAAAGCAACGGCTGCGGCTGGACACACAAACTGGAGAGTGAAAATAAGAACCAACGCTGCGGCACGGTTTAAACTCCAGTCTGACGTTTGAAGGAAGTGACTTCCTGTTAGCTGGAGTCCCTCACTGAGCCGGACCGCTGGAGACGAGTTGGCGACTCTAAATTGTTAGAAAATGGTGATTGTTCAGTTGCAGTTCAGATGAATTTTCACTGTTTCCAAACAACGAGGTGTGGAGTCACATTTTGAGCAGCCAGTTTTTAAGAAGCTCAGGATTTTATTTTTGTGTTCACGGCTTGCAAAACTCTATTTTAAAATAAAAAACGCCTGAAAACGTTTTGATACATTTTGGAGACTTCCTCATTAATTAGTCGCAGCCCAGTGAGATACTTGTAAAAACAAGTTTTCTGTCATTTCATTTGATGTCCTTTATAGACACTTGTATTAAAACTGATGAATGGCTGAATAAAAAACAATCCATTCTTTTTGACTGGCGACAACATAAATGACGTATGATAGCCCTCCTGCTCCTCCTTGGGTCAAAATGTTTCACACACTCCAAACACATTGGGCAGCACAATGGATCAGTGGTTAGCACTACTGCCTCACAACAAAGGTCTTGGGTTCAAGCCCCGGTTTGGACCGGAGGTCTTTCTGTTTGCATGTTCTCCACGTGTTTGCGTGGGTTTTTCCTGGGCACTCCGGTTTCCTCCCACAGTCTAAAATCATGCATGTTGTGCTGCCTTCAGGCCCAGACCCCTGGAAAAAGAGATCTGTGATCTCAGTGGGATTTTCCTGCTTAAATTATTTGATATTTTGTTATTTTCTCTGTTTTTTATATATCTTGTATGATTCCTTGTGTACGGGTATGTTCCTTTGTACTGAAACTCTAGCACAACAATTTCTTGCAGGATCAATAAAGTTCTATCTTATCTTATCTTGGGGCGGCTGTGGCTGAATGGGTAGAGCAGTCGTCCTTCAATGTGAGAGTTGGGGGTTCAAATCCACCAGCAGTCGCATGCTGAAGTGTCCCTGGACTCTGATGTGTGTCCCATCAGTGTATGAATGTGATAAAGTACTGAGTAGTCTCTTTAGAATGATTTGTTCAATTAGCTCTGTAGAGATCTAGTAGAGCCTCACTCCACTGGTTGCCCATACATTTTAGGATCAGTTTTAAGATTATTTTATTTACTTTTAAATCTCTCAGTGGTCTTGCTCCACTCTACCTCTCAGAGCTGCTACAGCCTTATACCCCCTCACGTGCTCTCAGGTCAGCCGATCAGCTGCTCCTGAGTGTAACCAAAACAAAGCTCAAGCTTAAGAGGCGACCGTGCCTTCGCTGTAGCAGCTCCTAAACTATGGAACGGTTCCTCTCCACATCAGACAGGCCTCCTCACTGCCTGTTGTTAAACCCCGTCTTAAAACCTATCTTTTTCCAAGGCTTTTTGACACCATGCGAGATGTTGATTTTATTATTGTTATTTATTTGATACTCCTTTTACTGTTTCAATTTTTATTGCATAGCTGTGAATATCTTTTAATTTTTTTATTCTTGTATTTTATTCCTTTTTGTGCTTTTTAACTTGTCTGTACAACCCTTCGGTCCTGTATGGGTTTTTAAAGTGCTTTATAAATAAAGTTGGAGCTGTGTGAATGGGTAAATGAGGGCACAGATTGTAGTGTAAAGTGCTTGGAGTGTTTTGATAAGAGAAAGGCGCTACCGGTATATAAATAAAAGGTAAATAAATAAACAACCTGATGTTAAATTCTCTTGATCAAAACCTCTTCACAACGTAGCACAGGGTGCATCGTTTCTTTTTTCATTATGTTTCTGACAGCTGACCTCCTACAGACGAACAGTCTGAAAACTTGATTTTGCGGCCTCACCATCGGAGCGCCCCGGTGTCCGATGAGTTTTGGAGCAGGTCCGAGGGTTCCAGCCTCTTTAATGCAGGGCGAGTACATTCCCAGCGGAACCAGGTAGAGAGAGAACAGCACGGACAGGAACAGACCCAGAACTGCAACCTGTCGCACTGGGCAGAACAAAAACGCATAAAAAAACTAAACTGTACACAGAAGGAATGGATATCAGTTTGTTTTAGCAGCAGATTAACATGTTTATTATCATACATGTTGTATTTATGTACAATTCATTCTTTAATTTAAGGTTAAATAACAGAAAGGCTGATGGTTTCTATGTAAGACACTGAGAAAGGGACATATTGTCTTCTTTAAATTTGATTTAAGAACAGAAATCTATTTAAAAATGTGCTGAGATCTGAACTCATCGCAGGAAACATTACATTCTGGTTCATCAGTTTACAGTGATCACTTAAAGAGTTTATCATTTACATTTACCAACATACAGTTTTATTATCTCAACTTTAAGATTTACATTTCAGGGTTTTTGGTTCTTCAGGTTTTCTGCCCTGAAACTCCTGTCCAGATTATTTTAATGTCAAAGGTTTCTATAATCCTAACCTTAACTCAAAACATGTCTAACTTTGTACTAGCAGGATTTAATAAAATATTTTTATTAAATCACTCCATAAAGTTAAAAAACACTCAGCAGTTTAAGTTCTCTACAGCTTCAATAATGCAAAAACCACACAAACATGCCAATCTGCATTTACTCTATAAAATGGTTATGAATCAAATGTACCAATTATTAAGTTCTGAAGATTTTTACAGCCCAAATCAAAACCTAATAAAATTAATTTACTGTAAATGTTTATCTGACAGATCAAAAGAGGTGACAGACAGATTAATAAATAAAATCCAAAAAAATAATTAAGAAATTTGTTTAAACTACATAGAAATGTAATGCCTATCAAGGGATGATGGGAGTTTACTGTGATAAATATGAACAGAATAAATCAGTAAAGTTATAACAGTTGCTTTGTTTTTATCAAACATGGTTGTATAAATGTTTGACACTTTTTCATTTTGTTTGTGTTAAAATCACATCAGAGTTTAACTCCTGCAACGTGACTCGTTTCCCCGTCCTTCTATAGTTTGATTTGCGTTTCCTTCTTCATTGTGTTTATGTTCATGCAGTGAACCTGGATCAAGTTGCATAGTTACTCTCTGTGGTTTTCTAAGAGAAACCCTTGAAATGACTCAGCATCACTGTCTGCTGAAACACCATGGCAACAAGGACCGGTCTCCATGGAGACAGGATGAGAGACAAGAGACCTGCAGGTCAGCGCCGCTCAGAGCAGGAAGTCAAGCGCAAACGACAGGAACAAAGAAATGACAAATGAATAATACAAGAAATATTCTGTTCAGAGGATGTGGACAGAATAAAAAGCTAACATGATAATGGTTGTCTGTTGTTAAAATTTATTTATTTAATATTTGAGCTGTGCAACTTCACACTGCAGGGACTGAAACTTCAACAGCAACAAGTCATTTGATCCGTTCATCTGATCTGTTTCATGTTGCTGTGTTCATTCGGGCTCATCTGCTCACACAGACTCATGTTCGTGCTGCTGTTCGGCGTATTGTTTTTATTGTTCTTATGCTATTAGTGCTTAGCTGATGTTTTTCTTAGTTCATATCTTAGATCTCATTACTGTTTTTCTTTTACATTTAATTGTGGAATGTAACTGGGACCCTGAGTACATAATCTTGTTCCACCACGTGTACCACATGTGGTGCCAACGACAATAAAGAAACTGACTCATTTCAGCACAGACTTAATGCTCGTTTCTACCCTGCAAAAACAGCCAATAAATTATCATTTGTTATTTTTTTATTTAAAACTTTTAACCATCAAATATTCCGATTTATTGACTATCCTGATACCTAGACTCTAAGCAGGTTGGGTAACTTATGTAAAATGTGTTGCATTGTTTTGTGATGAAATTAACACAGTGTTGTGTTTCAGTTCCACACAGACTGATTTGAAACCATAAAGTGTGCACATGCACAAAGTCAAAGTCCCACCTCACTAATAAATATAGCACTCATCTGGTTGCTTACCTTTCTTGTTCATGCGGAAAAAGTGCAAAGCCACAGGCCAGGAGAGGAGTGCCATCAATGAGACAGCAGCCAGGTGGAGGAAAGGTGCTGTCACCTGAAGTTATGAGATACAACTGTAACCAAGTGCATAAATAACACAATTTCATTGAACACAAATAAGTTCAGGGTTCCGTTGTGGCTTTAGCTGACCTGCAGAGAGAGAAGAAGTGTTTTCCATTCTTTGCTCCAGAGGTCGGACATGATGCCAGTGGCCGTGACGGAGAACACCAGGGTCACCAAGATGCCAGTCTGACACAAACACAGGAGGGACAGAAACACTCCATGACAACTGACTGGTTGTGAGAATGAGCAGTGGATTAAAGACCTTCATTACTCCTTTCTGATGTCCGAGTATGTACCTTGTGGCTCCAGTGAAGGTACAACCTCTGACCCTCAGACAGCAGACACACCGCCAGCACCTGAGCAGTATTTAAACACAATTAGGTGCAGACAAATGGGGACACTTTCAGGTCTATCTGTGCCTTTACAAAGAGTGCTACACAGTAAAAACCTGTTGTTCCTAAACTGTTCGCACGAATACCCTTAAACCTGAAATCTGTTGAACAATTGTAGGGGTTGACATAAGGACATTTTCCAGGTTGTCCAGCAAACAACCTCTTGACAGAATCTGGTTGTCCTCCACAATTTTTGGTTGTCCGCAACTTTTACAATGTTGTTGTACGTATCAGTTCTGGTCTCTCCTCCAGCTGCAGTTAATTGGTCATGTGCAAACAAGAACACATGTTTAATACTAGGGGTGTAACCATACATTGATTTACATCAACATATCGATTAAATGATTAATGATTCAATTATACCATGGAAAAACTAAAACATCAATTCAAATCGTCATCTTTAAAATATGCTTTTATTTTGAAATTCCCAAGCCACGTCTGTGTCACCATTTCCGTGCGCGGCTGCGCTCTGCGGCCGCCTCAGCAACATGGCAGACGAGGCAGAAAACAATGAAATTTACTCTCCTGCTGGATTTAAATCAACTCTGTGGAAATATTTCAGATTCCAACAGTAGGACGGCTCAACAGACAGAAGTCATGTCGTGTGCAACAGGTGCCAGTGTGAGTTCAAATACTCGGGAAACAACAAATTTGGTCGTTCACTTGAAAAAGAAACAACATTAACAGCCATGTTATGTAAGCTCAATATCTATTTTTGTTTCTTTATAATGGAAACGTCATCAGGACAGTTTTAAGTTAACTGGTTTAAAAAAATGCACTTAAACATGAAAAATGTGAGACTAAACTGAAAAGGTCATTTATTTTGATTTTTTCATTAATTAAGAAAAAAAAAATTTATTTAAATGACTGGTGCCTGGGCAGCACGGTGGCACAACTGGTAGAGCTGCTGCTTCTCAGTGAGCAGGTCCTTGGTTCAAACCCCGGTCCAGAGGCCCGTCTGGGTGGAGTTTGCATGTTTTCTCCGTGTGCTCCAGTTTCCTCCCACAGACCAAAAGCGTGCATGTTAGGCTGATTGGTAACTCTAAATTGTCCCTAGGTGTGAGTGAGAGAGTGAATGATTGTTTGTCTCTATGTGGCCCTGTGATGGACTTGCGACCCGTCCAGGGTGTACGCCGCCCCTCGCACAGTGATTGCTGGACATGGGCACCAGCGACCCCCGTGACCCAAAATGGAATAAACGGGTAAAGATAATGGATGGATGGAAATCATATTTGAATTGTTTTTGTAAATTTATTTATTTGTAAATGAGATGGGCATTTGATATCGAAATATATCGATCGCAGACTTGTGAATCGAATTGAATCAAAATCATATCGTGACAGAGTTTGCGATATCGAGAACAATTGTATTGTCGTACAAACAAATCAATATAATATCGTATTGTGGTAAAACTGGTGATTTACACCCCTATTTAATAAGTAGACGTTTAATCGTTCATTACGTGTCATCACCTGCAGACCCGCCCTGCTCTGCTCTGATTGGGTTAAACTGTGGCTCTGCTTCTCTTCATTGGTTGAAAGCAGCACCAGTTTAATCCCCATATCATCGTCAGATGGGATGGTTTTAACAAGACTCCAACAAAACACGTTTTTTCCCACCATTCATTTTTAGAGATGACAGAAATTGGTTGCAGTGATGGAGAACTTTGATCCATGTCTATATCACTTTCACGTGACTTCAACAGGTTTTTACTTTTATTTTTTACTGTTTTATTGTTTTTTTTTTTTTTTATCCGTCCAGAGGACCTGATTCAAATTTATTAGATTTTTCTAGCTGGATTACTGAGCAGCAACAGGATATCTATTTCACTTGGTTGGCCACAGGACATCCTCGAGGTGAGATCTGGTCTGAGATGAAAATAGGTCGTCTCTTACAAATGGAAATCCCTTACGTCGACCCCTGCAATTGTAACTATTAAAGCTGGATGAATAAAAATATATATTGGCAACCTAATATTTATGAGTCTTTAGAGATATTTTAATGCTAATGTTTAATGTTTGTTTTGTCATTTCAAATTGTTTCATCTAATTTTTTTTATCTGTTCGACCTTTGTGCATTTCTAACAGTTAAAAATGAATCCTTTCAACATTTTTTGCAGCTGACATTTTTACCATATTTAACACATGGTTCCTGAGTGAACAGCTGAAGAAGTCTTAATGACTTAATCTGGGCACATTTGTGTATTATATAATAAATCTTGCATAATGTCTGGAACCTCAGCTGAGCAGACCAGACCCTTTGGTAAATGCCATGCACTGCTGGAAGGCCGAAGGCCGTAATATGAATTGTGTCTTGTGAAATTAGTGTTTTGAATGCGTTTCATAAGATTCAATTCTGTAAATTCAGAAGCAACATAACAGTAAAACTGATATTTTGTCTGTGTGCTCACCAGTAATAGGGCAATGTATGTGAAGAGAGCAGCAGCAACACCCAGCAGGACCAGAGACCAGGGAAACCAGAACCCAAGAGTCCCAAAGTTAAACCTGGAGACAATAAACAAAAACAGTTTGTGAATAAAGTCTAAATGATAAAACTTTACCTTCATGTTTACATTAATTAAGATGAGAAAATCCACAGTAAAATGAAGACATCAGCATCATATACAGTAAATATGACGTTTTACATTTTTAGCTGTAGTTCTTTTGCATTTAACGTTATTCCAAGTGGTTTTCAAGTGAGGGATAACATGAAAGCTTCAGTATGAAGAGGCCCGTCAAACCATTAACAGCTAAATCAAAGTCAAAAGTTTCTTTGTCATTCGTACCACATGTGGTACATGTGGTGGAACAAAATTGTGTACACGGGGTCCCAGTTACATCTAGTTAAATCTTTTTAAATCAAAGTACAGAGAAAGTTCAGGGTGGACACGGTCCAGCCATTGTTAGTGATGTTAGTCAGAGATGATAAAAAGGTTGCTCTCAAAAAAAAAAAAAAGGGATTTTGATTCTGATGTAGCAGCAACAACTACATATAATAAAGAGAGCACAAGAGAGCGGGGGAAGCCGAGGCATCTGGCATGAAACAAAGATAATGAGCCACTGTAAGAATAGTGATCAGGAGCGGTTTAAATAGAACGGGGAACGAGTGAAAGTGACAACACCTGCGTGATTGGTCATAGGAAACAGGTGAGAGTGGTGAGCTGAATGAGAAACAATCTAGAGGCTGACGGAAGGGGAGAGTGAGAACTGGCACAGGGAACACAGGGAGATGACTCAAAACACAAGGGATATAAAAATAACATAAATCACACGGAGAAAGCAAAATAAACAACTGAAAAAAACCCAAACTATAACAAATACATGGTCCTAATAAGGATAGAAATACAAACGTGTGTGTGTGTGTGTGTGTGTGTGTGTGTGTGTGTGTGCGTGCGTGCGTGCGTGCGTGTGTGAGAGACGTCAGTTTGTGCCGCGTCAGACCCACCAGTCGAAGTCATTGTAGTCGTTCTGGGCTTCACTCCAGAAATAAAGAAAAACAAAACTCAGGAAGAAGGTGAGGATGAGGAGGCCAAAACTGCCACACTCCACCTGAAAGACAGAGAACATTTTTATTTTACTCATTTAATTTTTATGTACGGTTTGATACGAACCCTAAATGTAAAACCAGAACACTTTGTGTCAAATTTAATGTATGTGGTTCAAATATTTTAGCATATTTTGAGGCTAAAGATAAAAGGTTTTCTGTTAATCCAATCATCACTGAAGGATTTACTCTGACAGGAACGCAGGACATCTGTAGCAGGTTAGATTGTGCAATGTGCATATGTCGGTACCAGTTCAGGTAAAAGCTGACAACATGCATCTACAAGCTGATATTCTTTCATAGAAAAGCTGTTAGTGGCCGATGGAGTCAGCAGGCTGGGGAATCAATACTCTCAGCACAAAATGTAGGCCGACCAAACTCGACAGACTGTGTATAGATGCTGCTGTGTCACAACGTTTACCTTGCTGCAGCAGCACTCTCCTGGCTGCGCCTTCGCTCTTTGGTACCGTCTCCACTGGCAGCCGTAGAGACCGGCCAGGCAGGAGACAAAGGGCTGGTGTTCATATCTGCAACGGTTCAAATATGACATATGAGGCAAACATCTGTTAATGAAGCACTGAGAGCAAAACTAAAAATTATGAAACAACATCTGAAAAGAAAATACATTAGGAGCAGAGATTGCTGAAAAACTAGTGAAATGAGTAACATAAAAATCTACTTACGGTCTTATTTATTTACAAGCTTTAATATTATTTTAGCCTTAGATTTGTTTTTTATATTTTCATCATAAGGAAACGATTGATAAAACTCCTAAGCTCCTATTAAATTATTACTAAGTTTAAAATTGACTCAATAACTCACTGAAATAAATAAAATAATTTACACATTCATCTCAAGTATTCAGCTTTGGTACTTGATGCACTTTAAATAAAAAGTGTTTTTATAAAATGTTTCAATAACAAGAAAAACCAGTCATTGGAAAAATGTTAAAATATCACACACTTGATGACGCCAGCACACTGTTTTGGTAAGGAAAGGAGCAGTGAGTCAGTCCTGCACCTCACAGAGAACCGTGATTGGTGCTTTTAGATGATTCAAAATAGAACTTTATTATGTTTTATGGTGCTAAAGTTTGTCACAACCCAAGCTTCAAGTCATATAACTAATCTCACAATACATCCTTACATAAGTGCTGATAATAAACTGCCACTTCCAGGAATGTTATCTCCAATAGCATCCAGGTTACATCATAATTACAGTTTACACATCAGTTAATATTCTTCCAGAGTCTCGCCCAGGTTAGAGACGTTTACTGTGGTAGTTCATGGACTTGACTGGATAAAATGATGGTGATCTTTTGGTTCTGTACCTTTGCAGCAGCTGCCGCCGCACCACCTTTAACTTCCCCAGCTTCAGTCTGGTCACGGGCATACACTCACCCACGGCCCGGCATCACAGAGACGGAGAGGGGAGGATGGAGGGAAGACGAAGGTGGGATGGGAGGGTGGAGGATAACAAGGAAGGTCTCGTTGACACCAATGTCTTCACCTACACAGAAGAAAGGAAAATCGATTTAACATGCAGTCGAAGACAGCTTTAGGGTTGTATCTCACCGGGCTGAGACTGCTGGAGACTCAAAATTACAAATAAAGCAGGTGAATTTTCAGATGCAGTCTTGATGAATTGGAGTGTTTTGGAAGCATCAATGGGGCCAGATGTTTTAAATCATGGTTAATTTCCTTGCTTGTAGCCTTGTCCCTGAACATGATTATTTTTGTCCATTCTGTGCCTGACAGGCAGCTTTGGACCAGTTTTTCAATAATTAATATTTATCAGCTTTTTTTAGATCTGGACCTCTAGGGACGTATCCTCGGATGTTTTCCATGAGAGGAGCGCTCCCAGACAGGTGTCTAAATAAAGCTCCAGCGCTCTTGACACGGTTGGAGATGTCCATGATGACTCGGTTACTATTTAGAGAAAATAAAACTGCAGCCCAGGTTTTGTGAAAATGTTCAAAATTCAGGTGAGAAGAGAAACTCTTCAACTCAAGCAAAGGAACTTGAGAAGCTGCAAACGTTTCGAGACCTTTTAGAGACTCCTTCTTGAATATGGTTTACCAACGAGTTTCAGCCAGTCAGATACCACCTTTAATAACTTTTCAGATGCAGCCTGGATGTTTTTATGACTTTTTAACAAAAACACAGTTACAATGTTAACAAAACTGAGTTTCTTTTATTCTAGGCAGAATAAGCACTCGCAAAAAAAGAGAAACATTTAAAACGAAACTTTGAACTAGATAACGACATTATGTTCATCAACTCTTAAAACATCCAGACTGAAGCTCATTTTTACGTGAGGTGTTTCAACTTCAGAAAAACTAAACACACGACCTGAAATCATTGTTTCTGGACATGATTGGTCCCATCAGAGGTGCTTAAAGAATTTAGACCATTTTCTTTAAGCAGTCTCTTAAATAACTCCAACAAAAACAGTGGCTTATTCAATATAGTTATGTCACTGCTCTACCAGCCAAACAAAGACGTTTTTCAGTTTGTATTCACCCCCCCCCCCCCAAAAAAAAAAAAAAACACAAAAAAAAGGACTGTACTTATACAGCACCTTTCTGTCTTATGAAGATACTCAAAGCGCTTTCCACAACAATCTGTGTCCTCATTTACCCATTCATACAGCACTCTACTAGATCTATACAACGATTAATCAGAGCTTTATCACATTCATACACTGATGGGACACACATCGGAGGCAATGAGGGGTTCAGTGTCTTGCCCAGGGACATTTCAGCATGTGACTGCTGGTGGAATCAAACCCCCAACTCTTGCATTGGAGGACGACTGTTCTAACAACTCAGCCACAGCCGCCCCAGAAACAAAAACAGAGCAGGTCGGTAATAATACTAAAACGGTTTTGCAACAGTGATAATCCGTGACTTTGTTCAGCTGCCAAAAGGTTACCAAACAGTTTATGAAATCAGGCCGGTGGAACAGTGAGGCTACAAGGAGCAGAGGTCACAAAGGTGCAGGACTTCAAGGACTTGGGTCCACTGTCCAGGAAAATTGGGAGTGTGGTAAAGAGGAGAAAAAGAGAGTCCAGGCAGGATGGAGTGGATGGAGAAAAGTTTCAGGAGTGATTTGTGACAAAAGGGTGTCAGCAAAGGTCAAAAGAAGAGTTTACAAGACAGTGGTGAGACCAGCTATATTATATGATCTGGAGACAGTGGCATTGACAAAAAGACAAGAGAAAGAATTGGAAGTGGCAGAAATGAAGATGCTAAGGTTCTCCTTAGGAGTGACATGGCTGGATAAGATTAGGAATTAGATCATCAGAGGTACAGCACAGGTTGAACAACTGGGAGATAAAGTTAGAGACCAGACTGAGATGGTTTGGACATGTCCAGAGGTGGGGCAGTGGGTATATTAATAGAAGGATGTTAGAAATGCAGCTGGCAGGAAAAATACAAAGAGGAAGATATATGGATGCAGTTAGAGAGGACATGGAGGTAGTTGGAGTGAGGACAGAGGACGCAGAGGACAGAGATGGAGGAGGATGACTCGCTGTGGAGACCCTGAAGAGGGAACAGCTGAAAGAAGAAGATGATGCGATGAAATTTAAAAAGCCAATTAAATTCCTGAAATGAAGTTTCAACAACTAACACTACAAAAGCTTAAAAACCTTTATAATTTAGATAAGACTTTTATATTATTTGTTAGTTTTCTGGGCAAACAATTTAGGCAAAACTTCAGAAACCAAAACTATAATATTAAAATCAGGCATATTTTTTGAACACTGTATTAATTTCGGTCACATTTCTGTTGAGCGTAATTTAGTCTTTCTCTGAGTGAAGCTGGCCACCACACGCTTCGAACAGCTCCGTTTTCAGAAAGTTGCCATGGCAACGGTGACATCAGATCTGTTATTATTACTGCTGTGAAAAGGATGAGGGGAGGTGGGGTAACAGAGAAAGAACCAGATGGAGGGACACGAGGAAACGACTGCAAGAAAAATGTGAAGGAAGAAAAATCAAAGGCTGTTATTAAAGCTGACAAAAAGAAAACTCTTTTTTTTTTTTTTTTTTTTTGCAGGTTGGTACAAAAATAACTTTGATCAATACACCAAAGAATGGTCTAAGTTAACGATGAAACAACTTATCAATACGTTAGGTAGAAAAGGAGATATTAGGTCCTGTAAGACCCTTGTGATACATTTAAGACTTCATGATCAAAATCAAAATAAAACATAAATGAAAAATTAAAGGTATAAAACGTGGCCTGTCATGCATTTTTGTGTCTACAATGATCAATTAGCTGTGGCAGCCATCTTGAACTGGGTTAATCAGTTGAAGATGTACATCCAGTGGTTACTTTCTGGGTGTTTAATTTAAATCCATCTACTGGTTTATGAGATGTTTTGCTAACGAGGCAGAAAAACACGCACAAACACAGGTAAAAACACCGTCTCTCTTTTGCCTTCAGTCATAGGAGATAAAGACGCCTAAACACGGGGTTCAAGGAAAGCAATTACATTTTTTTGTTTTATTTAAAAGCAAACAAGTATTTTATTACCTGACAAGAAGTGAGTAGGTTATTAGTTACTGACTAATCAAATGTCCTTACATTTATTTGTATTCATTAATCTTGGTGAACATGATAATAGAGTTGGTGGTAATAAAGTAAGGCTGTATCCTGGTGTAGCTAATGAACAGAATGAGGTCAGTAAAAAATGGATGGATGGTACCACTTTGAATACAGTTAATAAAATGTTTACGCCATGGAAGAACAAGCAAAACCAGAGCTGAGTGATGAACGAGATGACTTTGGAATCACACTTTTCCTATCAGCTAAAAAGTTCAAATGCCTTTAACTTGTTATTTTGTTTAATAAATAACATTTAGATGCATATTATAGATATGTATTTAAATGTTGATTTGTTGATAAATCATTTTGTATTGCGACAAGATGGCAATAAAAAAAAGTTATTGCATGTTGCATTGCTAATCCAAAAACTGTTATTTAACAATATAGGATATAGTATAATAAAGATATATAATAAAGATAATGGATGGATGGTTTCAGATTGTGATAGATTATTTGCAGTAATAAGAACATGATGAGTCATTCTAGGTGGTTTTAATTGTATAATGATGCCTTAAGGGCAGAATATTAGCCCAAACATACATGAAACTAAAAATAAGGATTTTAAAACACCTAAAAGTTTACTTGTTAAAAAAGTTAAAATATAACAAAATGTTTAATGTGTACTTATACTTAACTGCTTTAGTTGGCCAAATAGAGCATGCCATGTGAAATAAAAGAAACTACAAACATGAAGCCCTTAATATTAGCTTTTCAGGTCATCAGAACAATAGGTAAAGTAAACCTTTTCTAAAGGTGTGCTCTGCTCCTCACGTGTAACACATCAGTAATTATTGAAGTATTCCTTCATCCTGCTGTCGGCTTCTGTACAATATTAAAACTCAAGTAGTGCATTCAGCTACAAACTCAAGTTTTCCTCAGCTCATCGTCATCATATAAATCCTGATTAGGAGTTTTCTTTTTTCTCGTCATTGTGAAATTTGTACTCTTACTGCTTTCAAACAACGGTCCTGAACCTAAAGTGGGTCAGATACCTAACAGGTAGAAATGTGAGAGGTACAGTGACGCACAAATGGCACTTTGCCACTGTCTCAACTCTCAACGGTTCCACGCGGCAACAATTAAGGGCCTGCCCGTTGCAGGCAGCCACCCCCACTCAACCCGATGCATTGGACCACCTTGTTCGTGGTTCTAAGTGAGTTCCTCCGAGGGGATTATTTTGACATAAGCAGACAACAGCCGTTGATCGGTTAGAGAAGCTACGTCACTGGATGACCACCCAGCAGAACTGCAAACTACCCATGTCCTCTCTGAAGGTGTTGACGAATGGTGCCACAAGAAATGAACGCATTTACTGAGAGATTTTAGAGATGATGGAGCAGCGTGGCTACACTCGGCCTTATAAGCAGTGCCGAGATAAGATAAAGAAATTGAAGTAGAATTATACATCGATTAAGGACCACAATGAGCATAATGACCTGTTATGGTACCGCTCACTTTGCATAGACAATCCTGCCCACAGAGCAGGGAAACAAATCACAGTGGCAAATCACCTTCACCTGAGAAGAACCGATAAGACGAGAGCCAAGTGGAGTCGCATTTATCAATGGCGAAGCAGCTCTAGAGAAGCCTCCTGATACAAAAATAGTTTGTTTCTCAAACTTTGGCTGAGGATATGAGTTTTAATGAGCACACACGCAAACACAAAGCAGCTCAGAGGGGGAAAGGAGAAAAGGATGACCCAAATTTTTTTTTAAATAAAACAAGGTGCACGTTTTTGCAGAAGCTCTTCACCCAGTTCCAACCTTTCCCGTTATCCTTTCCTTGAAAGTGCCTACATGTTTATTATTTCACTTTTACTCACTTGACATTCTCTTATTTATCTGTGAGC